GCGGGCCGCGGATCGCCTGTGACGCTCCGCCGCTCCGGCGGCCCCGCTGCCCACTAAGCGCCAGACGGCCGGCGAGGAGGCCGCCTGCACGGCGAGGACGCTGGGCCACGCCCGGCTGGCGGCCACTGCGCGGCATCGCTTCCCGGAGCGGCTGCCCTTCAGGTGGCCGGAGGGGAGGGGCGCGAGCCGCCGCCTGAGCCGCCTGAGCCGCCTGAGCTGGGCGGGCCAGGCTGGCGCCTAGGACTGCCGACCGGGGTGGGGCAGGCACAGAGCGCGGCCATCAGGGGGCAAGTGAATTGTAGTGGTCTGGTCAGACCGCTTAATTGGAACGGGGGGGGGGGGGTGTTGAGTTGTGTCTAACGATAGGCGACGCGGTTACGGCAAACCAGGAGCGAAATTTGCTCTCGATCGGAGACGAGTTGGCTAGCTGGTAACTGAATGTGGTCGCTCAGCGGTACGGGCAAGCTGTGGAAACTGACCCTGTCGCCAACCACCACACTGAGCTGGTGCGGTCAGCTGGTGCGGCTACCTCAATCCCGGACCAGGCTCTCATATCTCGGGGGTCCAGGGGCCAGACCGCCGGTCAGCTGGTGCGGCTACCCCAGTCCCGGACCGGGCTCTCATATCTCGGGGGTCCAGAAGCCAGACCGCATTGAGTTGGGCGGCTACCTTAATCCCGCCAGGCTCTCATATCTCGGGGGTCCAGGGGCCAGACCGCCGGTCAGCTGGTGCGGCTACCCCAGTCCCGGACCGGGCTCTCATATCTCGGGGGTCCAGAAGCCAGACCGCATTGAGTTGGTGCGGCTACCTTAATCCCGGACCAGGCTCTCATATCTCGGGGGTCCAGGAGTCAGACCGTCGGTCAGCTGGTGCGGCTACCTCAGTCCCGGACCAGGCTCTCATATCTCGGGGGTCTAGGAGCCAGACCGCCGGTCAGCTGGCGCCCGCGAGGACGCGGGGCAGCGCCGTGAATCACGCCCCACTTCGAGCCCGAGCTCCTGACGTGCGTGCGCCGTTCAGCTCGGTGCAGCGCCGCTTGCCAAGGTTCTGACGCTTCCGCGAGGGCGGGAGGGCTGACGAGGGCTTTGCCGCGCTCTGACCGCGCTAATTGCTACCGTCGAGGCCTTGACACCCTCCGTCTGAGCGAGACGGTGAGCAGATTGGCTAGTGCTAAGCTGACGCTAAATCAAACAGCCCATGCACATTACCTTCACGGCTTTGGCGTGCTGTGTCTGTTGCCTACTGTGTATTTTTGAAGACGTTCTGCATCTTGATCCTGGGATGCATATGTGCGTCATCGTGCCATTTAAGAGTTGACAATCGCAGTTCGAGCGGCGCTTAGTCAGTACTTGTGCTGAGTTGTATCGGCAGAGAGGGCCGCAATATTGTGATGAGTGTTTCAGCGCACGTCGCAGACAATTGATAAACAGCCTAATGTTCGGCTAGTTACTTACGATGCATCACAACACAGGCCATGTATCTGCTCGCGCTACTGCGGGCAGCTGTAGCCCACACACGTCTGTGATGTGTTTTGCGTGTGCCTTCCTGAGCGGCCACTCCCACCCGTATCCTGACCCATAGAGGGAAATGAAGTCACTTCAGCCTGACAGTGCTGAATCGTCCGTCAACAGCCTGTGTCACTGCATCGTGTGTCAGCTTCCTGACAGATGACACAGCTCGCCACCGCCCGCCATCCCTGCCGCGATCTTGGCGCCCTCAGACCCCGCGCCGCCCCCCGCCGACCTCTGTTTGTCTCTGACGGGATGACGCGCCGACGGGTCTATGCCGGCGCACGAGGACCACCGTCAGCGCTCGAGCACGCGAACAAGCGCCGGCCATGGCGCAGTCTGGATTTTTGTGGCCCATGCTGAGACTTACGGCGTGGCCTGGCCTGCTCAGCGGGCTGCGGGGAAGGTGGAATTCAGTCGGTATTCGTTCGTTGCGGCTTAAGATCCAATTACAGTTTTACGGGCTGAACGCGCAGCAGCAACTCATTCTGTCTGATCAGAATATGACATGCCTGCCAACATGTTATGAAGCATGAGTGAGCATTCGTTCCTACCAGCCCGTCCTCTGGATTTGAAACCGATACATCAGCTGTTCGTGTCACGGGTGGCTGTTTTGATTTCCACTTAGAAAGCGAATTAATTCAAGATACGCTAAATACCTCCGAGCAGTACCTCATATGTGTTCTTTCATTCCGATACTGCATCCCAGCAGAGCTATTTCCATCTTCACTCTTGCCCAGCCCAGACAGTGCTATCTCACTCAGGCGTGTCGCTCTCCGCCGCTCGTCTCTTCCTACGCACACCTCTTACCCCGGGCACTGACCATCCTGCCCTCCTCTGTCGACAGTTTGCGACGCACTGTGCAGCCGAACCGGGAGCAGATGCGACGCATCGACAACTCGCTCAAGATCTGGCTGCTCGAGGCCAAGACGGTGACGGCCAAGAAACGGTACTTCTGCGAGCTGTGCCTGGACAATACGCTGTACGCGCGCACCTCCAGCAAGGCCAAGACCGAGCTCTGCTTCTGGGGCGAGCAGTTCGAGTTCAACAGCCTACCCACCGTCGAGAGCATCCAAGTGAACCTCTACCGCGAGCCCGACAAGAAGAGGAAAAAGGACAAGAACGTGCTCGTTGGTGAGTAGCTCCTCCTCCCGACGGAGGGGAGAGTGTCCTACTCAGAGTCTGAGTCGCAGCCGCGCGTCCGGCCGGGCCAGATTTACGTCGCGCCCAATAAACAGCACCTGGGCGTGCTTGTTTGGGCAGCTCGGACGGATTAGCAGCTGCTTTGATCTGGGGCGCACGCGAGGGCCCAGGTGTCGTGGCGGCGGCGGACCGACGAGCAGGCGGCACCGCGCCGTCTGCGCTGGCTCGCTGGGAGTGGCAGGCCGGCTCCGGTGAGCGGGCCGCCCGGTGGAGGCCGCCGACCACCTGTGGGAGTGGCGGGAGCCGCCCCGGCTGGTCGGCCGCGCCGACGCGAGCCGTCGCCGCCCGGTCGGCCGGGCGACGACGGCTCAGCCGGGCGCTGTCAACCGGCTGTCACTCGGGTGTGTCGCGCTGCTGGGCTTTGACGAGCGGCACTGCTGGGCGGGCCGTCCGCAGGTCTCCGTTCTGCTCACGACACTGGAAGATCGCAGTTGTACGGACCTGCCACAGCGGGCAGTGACGCTGCGGTCCTGACTCCGCCCCGTTCTCCACAGGCACGGTTGAGATCCCCGTCAGCTCGGTCAACTCTAAGTTCTTCGTGGAGAAGTGGTACCCGGTGACCCTCGAGAAGGGCAGCAGCAACAAGCACCCGCCCAGTCTGCGCATCAAGTGCAGGTTCGGCACCATTGCGTTGCTGACGCTCAGTCGGGTCGGGTGCGCTGTCCGCGGGGTCGAGCGCTCTGTCCGTTGGGCCGAACGCTTTGCCTACGGGGTCAAGCGCTCTGTCCGTTGGGCCGAGCGCTCTGTCCGCGGGGTCGAGCGCTCTGTCCGCTGATTCAAGCGCTCTGTCCGTTGGGCCGAACGCTCTGTCCGCCGGCCGCTGCGGCCGCTAGCTTCTGCGGGCTGTAAACTCGGACGGCGTGTTAGGCGGGGTTGTAGGCTGGGGAGGACGCGGGTCGATGCCGGAGGCTGGGGAGGACGTGTGGCCGGTCTTTAGCGAAGCTTTCATGGGAGCTCACAGGCCCTGAATACCGTGATTGCGCCACCCTGGGCCTCTTACTCAGATTCGGGTTCACGTAAAGTTCTGAGGACTGTGGAAGATAAGATCAGGCGTGTCCACTTGTGGTAGTAATTGCGATTGGAAAACATGCAGCGCCTGTTTTTAAATCGATTTACTGATGTAGCCTTTTCTTTTCTGTATCCAGGGGCGATGGGGCGAGGTGTGTTCAGACCCCGCCTAACACGATCCCATTTTTCGTTCACCTCGTGTATTTGCAGCTAAATGGTGCGTGATATGCTTTGTTGGACTGGTTGGTTGTCCTGGAAAACCGGCAAGCAGTGTCAAAACTTGTGATGGCTTGTGTGATACCATTGCACCTGCAAGCTGTTCTGGGGATTTCGATCAATTGATTACGACGTTATTCATGGTGAAATTTGTACCATGGATGTAGGATTATATTAGTTTTGTGTAATATTATTGACGATTTACCCATTCATCCAGTTGGGACCTGCTGTATGTCATGACACTTAACTTGTTCTTATATTCTTGTGTACCTTGCGTGTCTTTCATTTCTTGAAAAGGAGATCTGGAGAGCGTTGTACTAGTTGTAATACTTGTCGTACTGGACTGTAATAAGCAAGTTCGGAGACTCGGGCATTCAAAATCACAAACGTATCATTGGCATCTGCTTGGTCGGTATCGTGACATCTCTCTTCTCCGTCGTGTGACAAAGCGGTGGTCCATGCATTAGTGTGCTGGGACGGAGTCGTCAAGTCCCACAGACTGTGGACTTGACGACCCTGAGGCAGTGCAGGCGCCAGGACAGGGCGGCGAGCGCGGCTTACCCTGACGGCCGCACGTCTCCTCGCCAGGTTCCAGGCGGTCGACATCCTGCCGTTGCACGTGTACAGCGAGTTTTTGCACTACGTCACGTCACGGTACGCGCAGCTGTGCGAGATCTTGGAGCCGCTGGTCGGCGTCAAGAGCAAGGAGGACATCGCCACCACGCTGGTGCACATCATGCAGCGGGAGGGCCTGGCCAAGCACCTGCTGGCCGACCTCGTCTGCATGGACGTCACGCGCATAGGTGGGCCGCGCTCCAATATAGTCCGTCAGCGGCCCGCGCTGCCTTGCGTGTCGCTGCGGATTGTCACGCAGACTCCCGACTCTTGTTGGTCAGAGTAGCGTCAACCGGCAGGGCATAATCAGCACGGGTTTGAAGGGTTTGAAGGGTTTGAAGGTGCTCCCGACATTCTAAACAACAACGTTGGATATCTTACGCTTATGTCTAGTGCGTTGTATGCTGGTTCATGACCAAAGATGCACTCGTTCCTGGTGCTAGTGCTGCTCTCGAGCGTCCACATTGTGTTGCGAATGGCTCGTCCCTCTTCCGCTGTTCTCAACCGACTCACTGGTGCCGCCGGCGGGCCCGCAGACGACGAGCGCCTGACCTTCCGCGGCAACTCGCTGGCCACCAAGGCGACCGAGTCGTTCATGAAGCTGGTCGGCGACCGGTACCTGAACGACACGCTGGGCGAGCCGGTGCGCCGCCTGCTGGAGGCCGGCTCCGACCTCGAGATCGACCCGCTCAAGATCAGCAGTCCGGGCGTGCTGCACAAGCAGCGGCTCAGCCTGCGCGCGTTCGTCGAGGAGATCTGGGCCAGCATCCTGGCGTCTTACACCAACTTCCCGCCGTGAGTACTGCCTGGCTCCCTTGCGGTGGGACGGGGGAGGCGGTGTGTGTTGGGGTCGGGTGGAGGGGCTGAGAAAATATACTGTTGTTTGAGGTGACCCTACGTTCAATGGCTTTATTGTCACTTTGTTTGGGCAGTTCTTCGCAGTTGTATTTCAGAAGACACTAATGGAGTGCACGGACAACAATTTTTTATTTAGAACCTAACGGGTATAGATTTAGTGAAAATCTTATGCGGCATGACATGCAGCTGCTGGCTGGGCGATTTGGACAGTCGTTCCGTTTTCTCTCCCGGTAATGCCCACACTGCGCTGCCCATATGCCGGTAACGCCTGGATGCCTGGTCTGCGTCGTCGGCGCAGGAGCGTTGGCTAGTGTCTGACGTGGCCGGGGTCCGTTCCAGGGAGCTGCGCGAGTGCTTCCACTTGATCTGTGAGCGGCTACGGGAGGCAGGCAAGGCCGAACAGCAGGACAACGTCATCTCCTCCTGTATCTTCCTCCGCTTCTTCTGCCCGGCTATCCTCAGTCCGAGTCTCTTCAGCCTCACGCAAGGCGAGTGATGCTGGGCTCTTCAAAAGCCGGCGAGCCACGGGCAGCCACGCGATAAACGCAACTAGTGGTTTGAGGCAGGCGCCTCTAGCCTCGCATTCATAATTCTTATGTGAAGGGATGGATGTTTGACTATCCTCCAAGCCATTGCAGTGTTAAATGTCCGTGTCTGTGGTGGACCTCTCTGACTTGGTGACGCCTCTTCTAGAGTACCCGAACGAGAAGGCGGTCCGGAACCTCACCCTGGTGGCTAAGACGCTGCAGACGCTGGCCAACTTCACCCAGTTCCAGGGCAAGGAGAACTACATGGAGTTCCTCAACGAGTTCGTCGTGAGGGAGACGCACACGATGCGCACGTTCCTGCGCAAAATCTCGGTGAGTGCGCCGCCGCGCTCGGTCGCCGCCGTCGCGCCAGCTCCGCGTCACGAGTGATCCTCCATTAGCGCGGCGCGGCGCGATACGATCTCGGCTGACGACGCCCGCGGCGCAGTGACGTCACTGCCGCGCCATGACGTCACGCGAGGCGTCCGATCTGCGACAGCTCCCATCTGTCGCCGGCGTGGCGGGAGCCGATCGGGGCAAGGTGGGCGGGATTTGGGGGAAGCGGGGGGAGGGGATAGGCGCTGCCGGCTCGCCCTGGCACGGGACCGGGCGGCAGGGAGAGACCCAGGCCTGTGGGCGGCAGGGAGCGACCCGCGCCTCCGGGCGACAGGGAGAGACCCAGGCCTCTGGGCGGCAGAGAGAGGCCTAGGCATCTGGGCGGCAGGGGGAGACCCAGGCCTCTGGGCGACAGGGAGCGACCCGGGTCTCCGAGTGGCCTCAGGTGGCGTGGGATGCCAACTGAGCGTGCCTTTCGTAATACTTTCGGAGTGGCCCGTCGACACGGCGATAGCTATTGTTGATGACAATGGGTTCACCGGAACGTTACGCTCATCCTTTGTCTTGCTATTTATCTCAGTGACATAACAATTTCAACATGCACTTGATGGCAGCATGATGACGCATTGACAGCACGATGGCGCATTGAGGTTGTTAACAGCGTGACGGGGTGTGGGCAAATACACGGCAATATTTATTTGTTGTCTGACGCCAGGCGTAGTTATCTAGTGTTTTATTTTCAGCACGATGGTGCGTTTGGTTCCATCCACTGACTGACCTTTTGTATACGCTTGTCGTGCTGATGGGAGATCAATGTTGTCACACTCCTAACCGAGCTGTCTCCTGACCTGACCCGTAGCCCCCCCTGACCACGCTGGTTCCCACGTCGCCAGAGCCCGGCGGGGCGGGACGCGCGCCAGCAGGAGTGGGACGGCTACGTGGACCTGGGCAAGCAGCTGTCGGTGCTGCACGGCCTCCTGCGCGAGTGTGCCGTGAAGGTGACGAACCCGGCGCACCTGGCCGAGCGCCAGCGGCTGGAGACAGTGCTGGCGACGGTGACGGCGGCGCACAGCCAGCCCAACGTGGGCCTGGTGTACCAGCAGCCGCCGCCGCCGCCGTCGGCCGCGCTCGCGCCGCCACCGAACTATCTCAGCCTGCAGCGCAACATATTCCGGTGAGGTTCGGCGCAGGGGCGGCGGAGAAACCGTGGCGGAACGGATGGTATTGTGGTTTAAAGGGCACGGATCTTCAAAGGCTGTGTTTGGCAAGCGTAATGATCGGCGTTTCTTATCATTGTGCGACACGTTGGTTCGTGTGCGGGCGTTTCTGTTGACGGACGTTTATCCGCTGCCCAGGTTCAACGACCGCACGTCGTGTGACCGTGAGCCGGCGGGCGCCGTAGAGCCGCCGCCTCCGCCACCGCCGCCGCCTCCGCCTCCGCCGCCACCGTCGGCCGCGCTGGCGCCGGAGAAAGCCTCTACGCTGCCGCGCAACGCCTACCTGCCGGGCAGCTCGAAGCGGGCGGCGCCCAACCTCAACACCAGCGACGACTACGTGCTGTTCAGCGCTCTGAAACCGGGCCGGCCGGGCCATCACCAGCACTTCCACCACCACGCCGGCCAGTACGGGCCGGCCGGGCTGGCCGGCAGTCCGGCGGCGGCGGCGGCGCGCCGCCGCGGACCGCGCGCCGACGACGAGGCCAACGATCACTCGGCCGGGGAGCTGGAGCACAACGTCAAGGGCTCGCAGATCTCCATCTCGCAGCTGTCGAATGTGGCCTCCAGCGGCTACCAGAGCTTCGCCTACAGCCAGAGCTCGAGTCCCGTGGACCCGGCCATCAGCAGCTCGCAGCAGCAGCAGCACCACCACCAACAGCAGCACGCCCCGCTGGCCTTCAACAATCCCATGTACCAGCTGAACAGCGGCAAGCCGCGGGTCACCAGGTGAGAGCACCCGGCAGCGCTGGCGCCTCGCAGCCCGGCATCAGCACCTCATCACACGCATTAGAGGCCACCTGGCGTTGGCAGCCGACCGTCTGTCGCTCGCCAGAATCAATGTCTCTGGGCGCCGCTTAACTTAGCTTAGCATCCCGCCGCGCGCGAAAACATGACCGGCGACGCGCGTCGGGCTGTTTTGCCACCAAACACAGCGGCGCGCTGCCGCGTAGCCGGCGCCGGCTGACAGCCGCCCCTGTCGTCCACAGGCCGGCCCAGTACTCGCCCAGCACGTCCGTCAGCTCGGCGCACAGCATGGAGGATGTGCAGCTGGTGATGGCGCCCTCGGTGCCGGCGGCTGCCGGCCGCGCGCCGCCGCGCTCCTCCAGCAGCTCGCCCTCGCCGCCGCGCGAGCGCCGTCATGCGGCCGCGCCGCGAACCAACCCGCGCGCCGCGCCGCCGCCGCCGCCCCCGGCCGGCTCGCCGGAGCTGTACGCACGCGCGCGCCGCCTGAAGGCCAGCCGGCGAACGTCGACTGATGTGCTTGCCACCAGGCGGCAGCAGCAGCGCGGCAGCGACAGCGAGAGCAGCGACGAAGTGCGGCCGGGTCGTGACAGCCGACTCAAGAGCAAGGCGCGGCGCAGCCGGCCGCCCGACAAGTCGTTTGAGGAGGTGAGTCTCACGCTGCTGTCCGTGCCGCTCCGCTCTCATTTGGTTTTGCCCTACCTGGTTGACTGACCTGAAACATTTGTATGTGTGTTTTGCTGTGTTAACCGGTTCCACGCCTGGTCTAAGTGGTAATGCTGTTCCCGCCACGAAACCGAATTTTTTGTTTGAGGAGCCGGTGCGCATGATCAGAAAACAGCCTTACTGCTGGAGGAGGAGGATCAGCAGCGTCTGAAGCGCGGCGTGTGGGCGGGCCAGCGGCTGGTAACAGTCGAGCCCTGTTTACAGTACGAAGACGAGATCCGCCAGCTGCACGTGCAGATGGAGCAGCTGCACAGCCGGCTGAACGAGGAGCCGAGGACAGCGACGCCGCCGGCCGCCGCGCACATCTGCCAGCCCTCTCCCGTACAAATCACCGAGATACTCAACAGGTAACCACTGCGCCGGGCAAACCACCGTGGTGCGCAACAGGTGATCGCCGCAGTGAGATAGTCCATTGTGTGGCGAGTGGACCAAAGGTCATCCAGATGCTCAACAGATGTCGATTGAGCCTGACGCATCGCCGGTATGGCTAACAGGTAGCGATTGTGCATGCGAATCATCGAGAGACGCAGCAGGTAGCGAATGCATGGCAAGGGTCGCGAGATGCTCTACAGTGAAGAAATGTCCGGTAAAAATAATTTAGATGGTTAGCATGGAACGACTGCACTGTACCCTACCCCAGTCAGCAGGCGGCTGACCGCTGTGTGACCCCGACAGGCGGCTGACCTCTGTGTGACCCCGTCAGGCTGTCGCTGGTGGAGCACGAGCTGCGCCGCGAGCAGAGCCAGCTGTCCAGCGTGCTGACAGAGAAGGAGCGGGTCATCGAGGCGCAGCACTCGCGCATTCAGGAGCTGAACGCCGCCAACAGCCAGCTGCATACCATGCTGGCGTCGCTGCGCACCCACCAGTGAGTAGGCGGGACGCGTCGCTGCTTGCCCGGCCTCGGACAGTTGGTGTCCTATGAGCCATGTCTCAGTCCGGCCGCAGCATGGCTCAGGCTACACCCGTGCGTGATGGTGGGATCCCATGTGGGGTGGGGAAGCTGAAGTGACCGGGTTTTGCTAACGCTGGAGGATGTTGTTAAGCCGGCTGCTGGATGACTTGATGCGGCTGAGTTGGACGGCGGAAGGCTGTAACCGCTGTGAGTGTGAGGACGCATAACTGTAGCATATCTCATCACAGCGCTCACAGCTCACTGTGTATGCCGCTACAATTTCCTTTGGTGGTATCAAAGCTGATTGTATCAACTCAAGGTGGCATCAAAGCTGCGTTGGGAGGTCCACCGATGCTGTTGCATTTTCAGGGGTAGTTGCCATCTAGCTAAAACCCTACAGGCACACAGTTTCAGTTGCGGTCATGGTAACAGCTGTGACCGTTGCGTTTCATGACGTGGCATTTCATGACATTTCATCCGTTCCAGGCACCCGCCGACGCTAGCCCAGTCGACCGCCAACGGCTCGGCCTCGGCACCCATCTCAGACACCTCCGATTACAAGAGTAGTTCGTGCTAGGACTGTAGAGCGCGCCAGGGTCGCGCTGCGGCCGGCCTTGGCTCGCGCCGTGCGGTGTTGGTGACCGCACGCCCGACAGTGTGGCCTGACTAGACCAAAGACTGCCCGTGGCAGGCTATTCAGCTCCGGTTCGTTTGAGTACAGTACGCGCGGCAGCTAATCGTCTCTCCTGTGGAAGGTCCAGTGTGAGGACTTCGTACCATGCCGTCGTCTTGTCGCCTTCGTCATCCATTGAACAGCTGAAAAGCGCTGCATCTCACTCCAGTATCGCAGCGTGGCGCGCTTCCTCGCTTCATGAACTGTGGTGTGCGTGCGTGTTATCTCTTCCTCGTGTGTCGCGTAGGGTTGTCGGCAACTAGTGTTGTTTGCGGAGAACAAAGTTGGAACAGCGGTTAGGCTACCTCCGTCTAGCTGTGCTCTGTGCAATGGTAACGAAGTTGCGTGCTGAGTGGGCACGTATGTACGTAAATGGATAGTCATCGGCTGGCGTCGTGGCGCTGCATAGATTGCTTTGTTAGAGCCAACCTTTAAGTGTTTGCACCGTGTCACAATCAGGTTGCAAGTTTCTGCAAAATAAAAGTTTCTTCATGAACCGATCCATGCTGATTGACACGCGGTGACGGGCTGTTTGACAAAAGCGACAGCGGAAGATTGAATAATATAATAATGAAATTTCCACTGGACACTCCATAAGCCGTGTAGATCTGACTGCTGTATCCCAGGGCTGCGAAACAATTTATCAATGTACGGTAGACTTCGGGATGAAGAATGTGAGCCCACGGCTTTTATAAACCATGAGGAACGCTATTCATGCAGTGTGCGCGCCAAGATCAGACAAACCGAAATGCTCTTAAAACGCTCACAGGCGTGTACTTGTGTCGGATACTCACAAACTACATCGCCTGACTTCATGTAATACATCTGAACTGGGCGTCACACAGAGCAAAACATAAAAATATTCAGCCATCGAGACCGCTTCAATCCAATAAAACTTCACGTACCAGTAAAGACTGGCTGAACCATCACTCCACACCAGAGTGACTACATCGAGGGTCCAGTCACTCCCGCGCGCACACACGAACAATGCATGTTTCATGCCCTTCAGATTTGATCATCCGGCTCTTTTTCACAAACGCCGGCCGCCGTTTACCCATCTTCGTGGTTTAGACACAAGTCCGCAACGTCCCCTGCTCGCTGGCGCGCGCCCGACGTTTGGCTACCCAAGTCACATTTTGATCGCGAACCCGCTGCTATCGGCATACACCATACCTCGGCCCAAGCATTGGCATGCTGCACACGCTGAGCCATCGCTACATGTGCCGCTTGCAGAGAGACTCGATGCTCGGAAGAGGCGACGGCCCGATGCCAGCCGTCAGCTACAGCCCGGCGCGGCGCTGGTGCGGGGGCGGCGGGGCTGGGAGCCGTGCCTGGCCCGCAGCCCTATGGCCGGAGCCCCAGCCGGCGCACGGCGGCCAGGAAACTCCAGCGGCGGCCGACACCGCTCTCTGGCGGCGGGCAGGGGCAGTCCGGACGGTCCCGACCGCAGCCGCCGACACGGTCCACTGGGTGACAGCGCGGCGGCCGTTCCGGTTCCGGCTCCCGCTCCCGCTCCCGCTCCCGCTCCGGCTTCCGACCTGGCTCCGGCCTCGGCTCCATAAGCTTCGGCTCTGGCTGTGGTTCTGGCTCCTGTGCTTCCGGTGGATCCGGTGGGTGGCAGGGGACGTGCGTGCACACCACGCGGTCCCCACTCTGACAACGACACTCGCTGCACTCCTCCATCCAGATGGCGCCTCGATCGCAGCGGAACGGCATGACATCTGGCGGCAGGAGAGGGGGGGGGGGGGGGAAGAGGGACGGTCAGTTGCTTGAACAAGCAGAGTTGGAGGCACGGCGCGCCATTCCTAGTGCTTCTTGATGGCTGCGGTTTCTTACCAGAGGACATGTGCACTGCATTGGTCATTGGGCACCTTTGCGTCCCCAGGTTCTCCAAAGGTCTTGCTTCCGCTATGCAGTTTCAACAATCAACACCGTGTCCGGTTATCAACCTGAGGACATGTGTGATGAGACGATGTCGCATGATAAGCAGCCAAGTGTCAAGTGGCGCTGGTGTTCGGCATTCGCGTCCAGTCCATGGGCAGAGATGGGAAAGGACCATCTGTACCCCACTTTTAGTTACATTCGGCTACTTAGTGATATATATATATATATATATATATATATATATATATATATATATATATATATACACTCGCCTCGTCTCGTCTCGTCTTGTCTCGGGACTCGTCGTCATCGCCCTATTCACGTAATATTTACGGCGACTGATATCTCCTGGTTGAAGTCGTTTACCCTGACATGCAGGATCACACAGTTATCCTTGCATGTGTACAAGAATACTAAGCACAAGTTTAAATACACCCTATATCTACCTGGGCTTGTAAGCATTATATGTCTTCCGAAATGGACAGAACCCAGTAAACCGACAACGACCCCGGGCGTGACTTGAGGAGTCTGACAGCTTTTCCTGGTGAGACACACTTCAAATGGCATGACTTTAGCTAACTTCACGGACACTTATCGGCCGGCTGTTTTCCAAGACGTCTTACAATGTCTCGGGAAGAAACCGGCACGTTCGCAAAATTTCAGGGATTATCAGATCAGCAAATTGAGAATTAGACGACACAAGAAAGCAACAGGAGAGGACAACGCCGAACGATGTAGACTCCTGGAACGGTGCTTCTGTGGTGTCGTCTATCCCCCTCTCAGTATCTACGTTTCAGCAGCAGCACGCGCGCGTGTTCCTCGCGGAGCGTCTATCGATGCGCCGGGGAATCAAACGCAAAAATCCAGCAGCTCAAGCTTTTGCTAAGGCAACACATTCTCACATTTCTGCCCCCCCCCCCCCCACGCATCTGTGCGGCACACGGTAACACTTGACCAACATCCCCTAGGGTGCCACCTCAATACCGACTGTTTGTTTTGCTCGTTCCGTTGGCGGTGTCCGTCGCTGGACGGTCCGATTGAACGCGTGCAAAAGTTGAGCCATCTTATCAAAATATAAAGGTGCCTAAAGCACCTACAAACTTCCCTTTTACGTAGCATAGAGGATGGGCGTGGGAACGGCGAGTTTGTGAGTGCCGTTGCACCCCCACTTTCTGAGAATGTCAAGCATTGAGATGCGCCCGGGTGCCCGTGGAATAGCGCAGCTCGGGTGTAGGGGGTCAATTTGACCACTGGATATCTAAAGAAACTAAGAGAGAGAGAGAGACAGGGAGGGAGAGAGAGAGAGAGAGGAAGAAAGAGAAGGAGAGTTAGGGGAGCGAGGAGAGAGAGAGGAGAGGGGAAGAGAGGAGGAGAGGGGAGAGAGAGAGAGAGAGAAAGAGAGAGGGAGAGAGAAGGGGAGAGGGAGAGAGGGGGAGAGGAAAGAGAGAGGAAGAGAGCGAGATGAGAGGGGGAGAGAGACTGAGAGCAGAGAGATTGAGAGGACGAGGTGAGCGAGAGAGGAGAGGGGGAGAGAGATGTAGAGAGAGGAGAGAGGAGGAGAGAGAGAGCGAGAGAGGAGATAGAGAGGAGATACACCCAAATTCACAATGCATGCTGGCCCTCATGTTACAACTCACTTTCGTCCCCTTTGAGGCTCCTAGGCCATGACACGCGGGGCCAAATAAGGTTAAACAAGGTCGTTGAACTCCAGGTTGGGTGGTCATCAAAGTTGCGATTCCGACCTCCTCACGCTAACCGTCTTGAGCCGAGATACCTCTTCTGAGCACATACAAAAAAACTCTCCAGAGGTGCAATCGCTTCGTCTAAAAATCCCTTAGTTGGCAATCATTAAATGAGCGATTCCCAAGAAATTGCCTTCGCTGACAGCCAAGGTCTGGTTTGACCTGTTATACCTCAGCAAACGTGCAGGCCGCATCTAATGTTTTGCACACAAAAATCCGCTATTCAGTTGCCTACAGCCATGAAAAGTTTGACGCCGCCACGTAGCACCACTCGGAAATTATTATAGAAGAGCCTTCGTGAGTCAAATCGACCCTCTCCACCCGAGCTCGCATTAGCCCTATGGCGAAGCATGGAAGGAGCCGACTCTGAGGCACCCATGGCAATACTTTCTGATCCAAGGCATTACTTTCTGATTTGCTCCTACATTAATGGGTCGAGTAGACATGGGAGGTCGAGGAGGCATGGGTTATGAGCGTCGTGAGCCACCAACATAAGTGCATCCACTGAGGGAAGAAAAACATGTTCCGAAACTTTCCTTAAAAGGGATTTTCTCCGTACATCTAGGTTTATTTGTACAATGAATGTTTTCCACGTTGTTCTATTGAAAAACATAATTTTCAGGCCAGGTAAAACTGTTCCCTTCAGATTTAAGTTCGGCTCAATCTCATTTACACCATTCCAATGACAGCTGACAGAAGTTGAGACATTCCTATGGAAAAAAAGCACTAAGGTGGGCGTGAACCCTGTTTTTAGCACCAATGTGTGCAAACAAATCAACATTATGCGTTTTTTTCATGTTCCGGCTGCGAAAGGCCTCATTATGCAGCCGCTGTGCAGATAGATGCTTTGGCTTTGTTTTACATTTGTGTTTTTAATGAACACGTTCATGAATAACGTCTGTACCCGGTATTGGAACTGCATTAGCTTAGTTAGAAGGAGGGTTGGACACAACTTCCAAAGATCCGGGTTGGAATCCCTGATGAGGTTCACATTTTCAGTGTCTGGCAGATATCTAACTGCAAGTCGGCTGCATAATACTGTCCTTCACAGCCGGAGCATGGATAAAAAAACAGCAAACTCTCCATAAAATGAGCGGCTATAAAGCCAAACCTCCATAAAACGAATTGCGTTTTTCCTATTTCCACGTCATTAGCAATTCAGTGGTTAAGTATAGCCTGGTCCCAATGGCGAAATCGGGGAGGCAGCTGTGGTTATTGATTTTCCGTAAGGTGTTACAATTTGTCTCTAGTCTTCAGATACAAATAACACATGTATCTAATCTAGCACATGCATAGATTGATCAAACTCCTTCCCGTCAGTACTGAACCGTGATCTTTCCAGGTTCCTATATCCGTCGGTATCCAGAGTGCTCACTCTTGGACCCAGGGGCCCAAGGCCTTTCTTCTTTGGCAGTGATGGCACTTGTAACATTAATGGCCAGGGAACATTAATGGCCAGGATTCTCTTAAGGAAGGGACGGAGCCTGACGAGAGCACATCACGCCAATTTTGAGCTCTCTGTCCAGAGCCGTCTATGGTGACATATAAAGAATGCGGGCCTTGGTAGGGAGGCCCCAGACCCCAGGCCCTGGCGATGGATAATAAGTGAATATGCATGTGGTGGATATGGTAGTGTATAACGGATCATAGAAAATCTGGTTCAACACCTTGTGGGGCCTGGTCATTCTGTGAGGGCTTAGTTTGTTACGGTCGCCCAATTATTTGTCACACGTACTGATCGTGTCCGCCCCGCTGACTGGTACCATTACTGCTGTCCCTTGAGCTGTATTCGCATTTACACAGAAGCATGGATTCAAAACATATTTATTGGATTGTCATTGTTAGAGACCTCGAGTGCGCGTTTCATTGCTGAC